GTAATGAGAAATGATGACCATACAAATGCTTTAAGTTAAGAAAAAGTAAAAATGTATCATATTTTTTGAGTTTTTTTAAAGCAGATTATCAGAATAAAATCTTAAACTATTAAAAAAAATGTTTTAAAGACAGCATCCTATTGTTCAAAGAACTGCACACAAATGACTATAAAATGCGTCTGGCTGACATTCATTCTTCCATAAACTCATTTAACATAAACTCTTGATATTTTTAGCAAGGGCAAATAATTGCAAGGATCTTATACTCCACTATCCTCTGGTCCTTCTAGTTTATTTTGTGCTGACTTTTTGTCTAACAAAGATTTCCAAAAGTTTAATACCATTTGATTAAATATCAGTTTTTAAATATCTCTGATTAAATATCAGTTCTTTAGCTGTGTAGTTAATCTGCTTTAAATCCTCGAAGTCAGTACCCAAAAAAGTATACAGCCTATTTTCCATTTGCTAATTACAAAACTTACATACATTCCATTCAAATTAAAAATTAAAAATGAACAAAACTCTTTTTTTTTTTAAATAGTGCATAAAAGGCACAAGAGCTTCTCAGTATATTTACTGAAGCCGAACATTTTGGCATCAACAAACACACCACTTTAGTTTATCTTGAGCTAAATTTCCAAACAGCATGCTGCTTTAGTTCATGTTGAACTAAATTTCCAAAAGAACATGATATTTTGTTTGATAATTTGCATAATTTAAATAGGTTTCTGAGAAGCACTGTCATAGTTTCTCTGAGAGGACACAGAAATAATAAAGGTGTCACTGGACAATTAATCTTTTGACCCATCAGGAATTTCTTAATAGAAACTCAGTATTTTTGCTCCATTCAATAGGAGAAATAACCTGAAAAGATGTATTTTAAATCAAATTGACAAAATGTCATAAATCAATCATTATAATTATTATTGTAGACTTTCTTCCCAATTAAGATTAGAAGAGAGGGAAAATATATTCCTGATGTAATTGAAACGTTTTAGTTCTGACAAAAATTATCTAGCCAACTGCTTTGTCAGTGAGCATAAGCTTCAATGGCCATACTTTTTGCCCAGCAGGGAACAAAGGCCAGAATTGGATTAGAGTCTGGTAAAAATGGACGGCGATCTTCAACTGCAGGCCACTTGGACTTTGTAATGAATTCAGAGTTGGAACAGTTCACTCTCTCTGAGGCTTGATTCATATCAGAAGGAATAAACAAAGAAGTCTGATTTGCTACCTCCACCTTCTCATAGGTGACTAGCAGGTTTCACAAATAAAGCTTATCATTGTATTGTGTCTTGAAATCTTTCAAATCTCAAACAGTATCTTAATATTTTCAATTTTCTGAATTGGAAAATCAGATTTTATGTGATAAATTGTGCTAGCCAAAGATTTGGGTGAAACTAGACCATGAATTTATTCTAAGTTTTTATGATAGAAGATATGGTCCACCTTTAATCATAAATCATTATTAGTATTGGTTGATACTGTATAAGAAAGGTGTTATGTTTTAAGCAACGGCTTGAAGAGAACTAATCAATTAACATTCTGCATATCCAGTCAACAGGAAATGGGAATAACTGGCCAACGTGTCTTTCTGTAGGAAGCCTCTTCCATCCATCTACAGCAATGATACCTTGAAATGAGACAGAAAACATGAAACTGTTGTTAACCATAAAAAAACTTATCAACTCATTGTTTGTTGCAAAAACATTCCTTGTTCAAAATTAGAAATGTTTTCCATGCTAGAAATCTCAGTAGTTCAATTCTTGAATACAGACAGACCAATACCTCCCAAACGTTAATATATACATCTTATAAAAGATACACAATGAAAATCTTGTTAAAATGCAGAAAATGAGGCTCTGGTTCAGTAGGTCTAGGATACTCCCCAAGATTCCACATTTCTAACAAGCTTCCTCCCACATGATAGCAATGTTGCTGATCCGTGGAACAGAATTTTAGTGGCAGGGTTCTAGGGTATTAGTTCTGCATTAGTCTGAAACCAGCTGTTTAGGAGTTGCAAGTTGGAAGGAGGACGAAGGGAATAATTTTAAAACTTCACGTGTATAGAAACACAAGGTTTTTTGTTGGTCTGTTTGTTTTAATCTAGATTGTATGTTGGGGAAGGTTGAGCAGGCTAAACCTCTAATCTACTTTTAGGAATCCCTAGGTGTTAAAAATGGTTAAGTGCTCCACAACTAGTCAAACAGTGGGCAGTGTAAACCAACCTAGAGGCATCTTGGGAGCTCTGGTAGTGTAGTGCCTTAGGCACTACACTGCTAACCAGAAGGCTGACGGTTCAAACCCACCAGCCACTCCTCACAAGGAAGGTTGGGCAATCTACTTCCGTAGTGATACTGCCTCAGAACCCCAGGGGAGGGGTCATTATGAGTTGAGTCCGACTCGACTGCACATAACAACAACAACAACAGAGGCATCTTGGAAGAAAGGCCTGGCAATCTAATTCCAGAAGGTCACAACCTTGAAAACCCTACAGAGCAGAGATCTACTCTGCAAATGAGCTCACCATCAGTCAGAATTGACTAGATGGTAACTACCAACAACAAAAATCTACTCTTGAGAACTGCTATGGGTTAGGTAGGAACTCTGGTAGTACTGTGGTTAAAGCATTTGGCAGCTAACAAAAGGCTGGTGGTTCAAACCCATCAGCTGCTCTGAGGGAGAAAGATGAGGCCGTCTGCTTTAGTAGAGTTTTACAGTCTTGGAAACCCTATGTACTACTATGCCCTGTAGTGTCACTGTGAGTTAGAATTGACTCGATGGCAGTGAGTTATGGGGCTAGGCACATTACAACTATCTGGAAACTGCTGACCTAGGAAATATTTTATAAATAGCCCACAGATTATTTAGTAATAGAGTTCAAGAAGAAGAGAAAAGAAATTATGAAGATATTATTTAGGAATGTATTTAAATTAGACATATCAATATCAGACAATATTATTGAGTATTAGTATGCATTGAATGAATTGTAAATCTTAGTTGCAAGGAAAAAAAAACTATTTAAAGAAGTCTAGTATCCATTCACTACCTTAGAAAAAATAATTAAAAAAAAAATACTATTGTCCCTTGTTATGTCAAGAAAATGAAAAGCACTGTATCAGAAAATCAACTTTATTTTTTAGGTCTGTGCAGCTGATGCATGTTGGTTAGTATGACCACTAATATCCATATTAAAATATAAAATCAGGTTCTTGTGAAATTTTTTTATTATATTGTGTTTATATTCATCAAGTGTTTATTGAGAACCCACTATGTGTCTCATACTGTGCAAGGTGCTAGAGATAGAGTGATGAACAAGAGACACTGACATTGTGCCAAAATACTTGGTAATCTAAATAACTTATATAGTATATTACTATGTAAAAATGTAAAATATTTAACACATACAAAAATTTGTAATAACATTGACCTCAGAAACAATGGTACTGATGATTTGAAACGAATGTTTTGAACTAAAAAAATATTAAATTTTATATTTTCATGTGTTCTGTAAAATATTTCATTTGGACATTGGCTAGAGATTCATATTTTTATATTTATAGTTACATTATAATAATTATTTCCAGAAATTTAAAAAGTCTCTCTTATGCTATTTAACCAAAATAAGAAAATTAAATTTTCACTATCCTAATCATAGTTATTAGAAGCCCTGGTGGAGAAGTGGTTATACATTCGACTGTTAACCGAAAAGCTGGCGGTTTAAACCCACCAGCTGCTCTGTAGGAGAAAGGTGGCAGTCTGCTTCTATAAAGATTAGAGCCTTGGAAACCCTATAGGGCAGTTCTATGCTGTCCTATATGTTTGCTATGAATTAGAATCGACTCAATGACAATAGGTTTAACCACTGTTATGATAGACCTGATCTACTGTACCATCATGTTTCCATAGTTGATTCTGGTCATCCAAAATCAAAATACTAGTCAACTGGAAAACTGCAGGATTAATATTTATCAAAGCAAATCAGTCAAACAAAAAACCGTACGTCCCTGAAATATTTTGACACAAATCATTTGTTACAGATGCTACTCTCTTGCCTTTCTTAGACTTTAGGATTTCAGATTGCAGTTTTGTAACAGAGGTCTTGACAACTTTGATTTTATGTGTATATGACAGCATATATATACACTTGTTTGTTTTGTTTAGATGTTTTTGGCTTTTTTTCCAAAGGGGCTCTTTATTGTAGTTTTTATTGACAAAATGTTTATAATTAGATTATGTGGTAAAGAAATTTATTTGGAACTACAGGTTTAGAAACAATTGTGATCTAAAGAAAATGATTTGGAAAACCCAGCATTTTAAGAATAGTACACACTATGGGGTGCTAATGTGACTAAAATATGGGAATTTCAGAGGATTTTGCTAACAAGATATAATTATCTTGTACTTAAAAAAAATAATCCACTGCCCTCAAGTCAATTTTGACCCATAGAGACCCACTGGATTTCTGAGGCAGTAAATCTTTAAGGAAATAGATTGCACCAACTTCCCTCTGTGGACTGGCTGGTGGGTTTGAACCACTAACCTTCTGATTAACAGTCAAATACCTTAGGTCCTATCTGATGCCATCTTGTACTTGGACCCAGTGAAATTCTGCTAATATATAGTCAAGGGTATGAGCATTGTATATCCTGAAGAAAATAAAAATTAAAAATTGCCTCATCCTATGAAATGACATGTTAATTTTCATGTAAAGTTCAACATTTTAGGATCAATCTCTGCCTTTTAATGCATGACTACAAAAACGAATTTTGTTCATCAACTTATTTCTATAATTTATCAAGTATAATTTATATACTAGTTAATACTGAAATAGCCTCATGACCAGAAGCCTTAGTATGACTGATGTGACACTAGGGTCAGCTAAGACTTAATTTCAGTTGCTGAAAAATAAATAATAATGTTTAAGGAGACAATTTTCCTTAAGAGAATTGTAAAATTGTTAAAAATAAAAAGTATAACAACCAAGATAAAACATAGCTTACTTTTATAAAGTACAAATATATTTTGCTTGAAGAGTTAAGTCTCATTCTCCATGGTTAATGCAGGATTGCTCATACCTAAATAAAATGAATCAGCATTTTTGTTACTATTGAATGAATAGGCAGAGATTTGTTTATTTATCTATGAATTCTCCCAGTATACTTCTAAAGGTGCCTTGCTCATAGTATGGGGTGTTTATAAAATAGTTTACAGTTACACACACATACAAATGATCAAGTGTCAGCCACAACCAGTGTCACAAAACATTTTAAAAACAGAGTTACACACCTGAGGAAGTAGGGGCACAAATGAGTGAAAGATTTATTAAACCTGACACTATTCACATCATTTTAACCATGGTTTTGTACATCTTCACCTACCTACCTTATTCTTGTCTAACTCACCTGTGAGCCCTATCTCATCTCATCCTTCCCTTATTTACATCTTCTAAACTTTACATAGTTTCTCAACTCATCTATCAAACTAACAGAAAAATTAATCTAACATGCCTAAATAATAGCACATAAAAACCAAGCAACCACTTATATGTTAATGCAGGGCTATGAGATAAAACATGAATCACTTATGGAATAAAGGTAGGTCTTTGTTTATCCACCCCCCTTAAAAATAGACCTCCAACTATTCATCATGTCTTTTTCTCTAAGGAAACTTACAGGTTTCAAAGGGCAAATGGGCATAATCCATTTTTGTTTCATTACCACCTAACCTTCCCATAGATTGGAAAAGAGAATAGCAAGGCTAAAGCCAAAGAGTGAGAAGCCACATTATGAATATCAAAAATGCTGGGGATCCTCTGAGGATATATATGTATATATGTCATAAGAATAAGAATCTGTAAAGGAAGTGTATATGTTAGAAGAATAAGACTGAATATAATTAAATGATGACTTTAAAATTTCTACTCAGGACAATCTATTTTTCACTATCACTAAATTCCAAAGAGATTTCAAATAAACCAATAAACACTAAAGTGTAATAAACCAAATTTAGGTAGTGCTGAGAGAGGATGTAAAGTGAAATTGATTTGAAAGTTTTGAAAAATAAAGTCAATCTGGAGAATCTCTGGCAAATAGTTCTTTAATGTATGGTTTTGGCCTCACAGTAACACCACACATACCACACATACATATACTTGCATGTATGATTACAATATTTTTGTTTAAACCTTAGTAGCACTGGGAAAGCAATGAGCTCTAGTGGCACAGTGGTTAAGGCATCCAGCTGTTAACCAAAAGGTCAGTGGTTTGAACCCACCAGCTGCTCTATGGAATAAAGATGAAGCAGTCTGTTTCTGTAAAGATTTACCACCTTAGAAACCCTATAGGGCAGTTCTACTCTGTCCTATAGGGTCACTATGAGTTGGAATCGACTCAGTGGCAGTGGATTTAGTTTTTACCTCTGAGAAATATGTGATGTTTTAAAGATAAGAAAGCTGAGATAAAAAGAGGTTAAGTAATTTGTCAATTAGGTGCCAAATTGGGATTTGAAACCAGGTCTGCCTGACTTCAAAGCATTGTTTGTTCTTTGTCAATAAGCTATAGTAGCTGAAGTAATCAAAATATTAAGATCAACAATAACAGGGAGAATATGAATGGGATACGAAGAGATAAAAAGTAGCTAAACTTATATGAACAGGTAGCTAAACTAACCAGAAAGAGCTCTGGTTGTGTAGGGGTTAATACATTCAGCTACTAACCAAAGGTCAATGGTTCAAACCCATCAGCTACTTCATGGAAGAAAGATGAGGCAGTCTGCTTCCATGAAGATTTACAGCCTGGGAAACCCTGTACGGTAGTTATGAGTCAAAAATGACAACAACAGTGGGTTTGGGTTAAAGTTATAGCAATCATGCAATCACTTTAATCAGACATTTTGATATTAGATAGATATGAGAGTAAAAAATACTTACATAATTTGAGATCCTTTTCAGTAGATACTGTCAATTCTTTGTTTGAGTTGATTACATATTGTGGTGGGTCAGATTATGTGTCAACTTGGCTGGGCCTGGTTTTGATTGGCTTAGCAGCCGGATGTAGTCATTTCCCATGGTGAGATTGGTAATCAGCTCCATGGTGGAATCTGCCATGAGCAGCTGAGTAGCTGCCTTATGGATGTGGTCTGCTTCCAGTATATAAGGAGAAGTATTGAGAAAGGTCTCCAAGCTTTCTGGCACGCTTGGACCTTGTGTGTAGCCAAGTCTTCATTTAGCAGCCTGCAATGATTCCTGACAATCTTGGGACTGTCTCTGAACTTGAATTAGTGGCCTGCTATATTGTTTGGTAGGAGCTCTGCTAGCATAGTGCCTAAGGCACTTGCCTGCTAACCAGAAGGCTGGCGGTTCAAACCCACCAGCCACTCCTCGGAAGGAAGGTTGGGCAATCTGCTTCCATAGTAATACTGACTCAGCAACCCAAGGAGGGGTCGATCTGAGTTGGGTCCGACTCGATGGCACATAACCACAACATATTGTTTGGTAATATTGGGTCTGTGCCTTTTTACCTGTTGACTTTGCTTTGTCAGCCTCAGCAGCCAGCAGCTGCCTGCGTGAAGAGTCACCTCCAGCTCCAGTGGGCCTGCAGCAAGCAGCAGAGCTGAAGCCCAAAGTCGAGGGGCTTTCACCCAGCCCCTAGAACCTGACACTTCGAACTCAGACTTATAACCTCCTAAATTGTAAGAGAATAAATTCCTGTTTGTTCAAGCCATTTAATTTGTGGTATTTTCTGATAGAGTGGCACTAGGTAAATAAAACACATATTTCCATTGTTTGTACTTTATACTTTGAATTTCATTTCTATCATTTTCTTTAAGGTACAGGGAAAAAAGATCTAGTTTTTTAAACTAGAAAAAAAAAAAAGCAATGATTGTATTGATTTCCTAGAGCTATTACAGTATTTTCCATAAACTGAGTGGTTGAAAAATCAGATATTTATCCTCTTACAATTCTGGAAGCTAAAAATCTACAGTCAAGGTATTGCCAGAGCCATGCTCCCTTTTAGGGCTCTGGGAAAGAATCCCTCTTTGCCTCTTCCTGGCTCCTAGTGGCTCCTAGCGATCACTGGTGTCCTCTGGCTTATAGCTGCCTCATTCCAGTCTCTGCCTCTGTCTTCACAAGGCCTTCTTTTCTGCGTTCCTGTGTCCTTTCCTCTTCTTGTAAGAACACCACTCACTGGATAGGCCCCATCCTAATCCAGAATTAATCTCGTTTTAACTAATTATATTTATAAAACCCCTAATCCAAATAAGGTCACATTCTGAGATTCTGGGTGGACATGAATTTCTGGAGGACATATAAACTCACTACAATGATATGCTACTACTAACATACATTAGTCCAAGTACCTCACAAATGGAAGTTCTTCAAAAATAATTCTAATTTTACAAGGAGAGTCTAGCTATAAAGCAAAAAACCTAATGTAGATAATATAATTCAATTGTTTCACAACTTTTTCACCTTTTAAAAACATTTTTAAAACAAATTACACTCTTACCAGCTTTGCCCTTTCCTGGATATGTGCCACTCTCTGTCCAAGATTGAGAATCACTAAGAAGGTGGCTCTGGGACTCTCTCAGTGGTTTTGCAGGAAACTGGTGGTTTTCAGGACTGCATAATAATAATAAAAATAAAAATAAGTTAACTCTTGATAATATTATTGAGTATTTCCCAAAGTACAAAAGTCAAACCACTCATGATGCAAGATTATTATAATTATTTTGGGAGGTACCCAAGATAATTCGGGGCACACAAGGAGAAAATATAACAATGACTCACAATGGGAAAAATATTCTCTCTTTAGTTCTCTTTCTATTCTTCTGATTTACAATAGGAAGATGATAATATCTAACTCTGGCACACCTCCATTTTTAACACAGATAAAAGCTTACAGCTTTAAACTTTAATAGGTACTGGAATTTAGTTAGAACTTAGTAATATTTTGTTAACAATTTTATTTTTTACAGTTACATTCCATTTATGGCAAATTTACTGGTTTCTCATTTATAACAGCGATATAAAGTTTTGTTTAAAAATAAATTTAAATGCTAATTAAAAGACATATATAAACAGAAATACTAATGTTGTAAGTGGTATGTGGATATAGAAAAAAATATGAAGGTGATAGTAGAAAAGAAAGTTTCAGAAAAACTGGTGTAATACTTCTGGTGTGGCCTAAATGATCTTGGACAAAGAATTCTCTGTCTCTGTGTCTGAAACTGAAAGGACAGATTTGCCAAATAGCTTACAGGAAGGTTGAAAAGATCTGATCTTAGCAAGTTTTATGAATCTAACATTTAATTTGGGAGGCAGGGAGCCCTGAAAGAAGAATTTCTTTAAAATTTGTTTCAAAATTTAGATGAACATGCCACATATTAATATCTTGGATGGTATGACAAAATATATGTAAGTTAAAGTAAAACTTCACTTATAATAAAGACATGAAAAATGACTATCATAGAAACTATTATGTATTTTTACAATAATAATGCTCAAAAGTAAAAACTACTTAAAATTTTTCCAAGAATAATTTGATATATTTTACTTGAGACAACTACTCTAATTTTTAAAGGATATTATTACTTCGTATCTAAATATGAGAATATTTTCACTTTGTAGCATTTTAATATTATTAAAAACTTAAAGATACAATATTCAAATAAACAAAAGCAAAAACCTTCCAGCATGTCTCTGCCTAAGCTTCTTATGTATTCATATGAAAATCTCTAATTCTTACTACTTTTCTGGAAAGGGACCATGTAACAGGTACAGTGTACTAATTAGAGACTTCTTACAGATTTATTACTGTTAATAAGATTCTACAAAATGGTTAGGATGCATTCATTCAACAATATTTACAGAGTACCTATTTCATCAATGAACAAAGTCTTTTATCTCAAGGATATTTCACAAAGAATTATATATATTTATAAAATAGTAAGTCGGATGACAATATGAGCTATGATAATAAAACAGAGTAAAGGGAAGTGCAGGAGGAAGTTATTATTTTACGAAGAGTTTTCAAAGATGGTGGCTATTGTGAAGTTACATCTAAGCAGAAAGGGAATGAAGAGAAGACAGACTATTCAGATATCTGGAGGAAGAACAGGGAGGAAAAGAAGATTGGCAAGGATAGAAGCACTGAATAAGAGGCATGTTTGGTATGTTTGAGGAACATGAAGATGTGTAAGCTGAAGATTGTGACAGGTAATTGGCAAGGGATTAGGTTAGAAAGGTGTTAGAGTCTAGGGATCAGACAGGGCCTCACAAGCTTTTATTCTGAGTGAAGTGGGAAACTAGTGGAGGGATTAGAGCAGAAGAATGATTCAGATTTGGCCAATTAATGAGAAGAGAATTAAATGCAACAAAAACAGAACCTGGAAGATCAGTTAGGAAGCTATTGAAATAATCCATGACAGAAATAATGATGGCTTGGACCAGGAATGCCGTCATGGAAGGAGAGAGAAAGTATTTAGATTATAGACACATTTTGGAGATCTGAGAGGATTTGCAAATAGGGTAAACACAAAGTTACTGAGAGAAGAATTTAGAATGACTCCAAGGCTTTTGGCCTGAGTACTTGGAAGAATGGGGATCATCAATTACTAAAGCAGGAAGGTTGGGGAGAATCAGTTTAGAAGGTGGGTGAGGGTGGAGACAGGTGGGAAATCATGAGTTCTGTTTTGGGCCTGTTCCAAGTTGAAGATGGCTTTCTGACAGCTAGTTATGCTGAGCAGGTAATCAGATATACACCTGTGGAGGACAGCAGGGAGGCCAAGACTAGTCATAGAATTTGGTATGGGCTAATCAGTGAGCTCTGCTAGTGCAGTGCCTAAGGCATTTCACAGCTAACCAGAAGGTGGATTAACGGTTAAAACCTACAAACCGCTCTGCAGAAGAATGATGAGGCCATCTATTTCCATAAAGATTTACTGCCTTAGAAACCCAGTGGGGGTCACTATGAGTCTGAAGTGAGTTGATGGCAGGCACTGAGGTTTTTTTTTTTTTTTTTTTTCATCAGGGAAAATAGATCACTGGGTGGCACAAACGCTTAAGTGCTCAGCTGCCAGCCAAAAGATTGGTGGTTTGAACCCACCAAGAGGCCCCTTGGAAGAAAGGCCTGCCAATGTACTTCCGAAAAGTCACCGACTTGAAAACCCTGTGGAACACAGTTCTACTCTGTAACCACAGGGATGCCATGAGTAGGAAGTCACCTCAAAGCAACTTTATTTTTTAAAAATCAGGGAAAATTATAGAATTTTATATAAGAGGGGGACTTTAGAATGGAACAGAGGGTCTAAAAAAGTTCACTTGACCTCTTCAAGATCACCCCGTTGACTAAAAGTACCAGAACTAGGACTTCTCCCAAACTCCACAGTATTCTTAGTGGAAAGAGAGATACTGACTCTAAAATCCAAATACTTTTAAACTACAAAAAAAATGAGGATAAAAAATTACTGAAAACTACTATTAAATCTTACAAAAACTTGAACACATATTTTAAATAATTTATTAGAACTACATTTTAGCAATAGACAGGCCTATAAGGTGAATAATAACACTAGAGGGGTACTCACTCCTTAAAAGAGCCATTCAAGATTAAAGGAGCAGCTTTTGCCCAAGGATAAAATTCGGAAGGCAGGAAAGAACAGGACAGATGGACAAGTGGAAATGGAAACTCAGAGAAGAAGTGGAAGAGTGATGTTACATTGTGGGGATTGTAATCAGTGTCACAAAACATAATGTTTGTGAACTGTTGAATGGAAAGCCAATTTTCTCTGCAAATGTTCACTCAAATCACAATAAAAAGTTAAAAAAAAAACACTTAGATTTTACTTTATAGAGGCATAAGAAAACCTATTAACATTTAGCTCTGTGGAATTTTCAAGTCTAAGTTTGATGGAGTGATAACTTTCAATGTTTCTGTGAAACATCTGAGAATGTCCTTTTCATTAATTGGTAGAGTCTGGTCTGACATAGCACTCTAGGGCTGGCGTGGCAAATAGGTTTAGCTGAAGTGACAACTAAAATGATTTTGGAATCATTGCCAGAAACTGACTTGAAAAAAATCTGGTGTAATACAGGTTCCACAGGAAAAAGTATTGTGATCTATAAGAAATTTGTACTGGAAGGGAGTCATGCTGGTATAAGGGCAGTGTATATGGCTTTACTGCCATAACAAAATCTTAAAAAACTAACAAAAAATTATACTATGCCTGAAAAAGTTGAAAAATTACCTTAAAGCCTAGAAATTCCACTCCTAGGCATATACCTAAAAGAAAGCTCAAATACAAACAGGTGTTCATTGTTAAACTATTCACAATAGCCAAAAGGTGGAAACAATCTAAATGCCCATCAATAGATGAATGGATAAACAAAATGGGTATATATGTACAATGGAATATTACTCTGCCATAAAGAGAAATGAAGTCTTGATACATGCTACAACCTTGAAAACATTATTGGCAATCTACATTATGCTAAGTGAAATAAGTTAGACACAAAGGACAAATACTATTTGATAGGAAACATCTAGAATAGACAAAAGTATTAAGACTAAAGTTTATTAGCAGCCACTAGGGGCAAGAGGGAATGGGGAAAAGGAAGCCATTCCTTAGGGGGCACTCGTTTCTGTTAAGGGTGATGAAAAAAAATTGGAAATGGATAATGATGGTAGTTATATAACATGAAAAAAGTAACTAATGTCACTACATTGTACATGCAAAAGCTGTTGGAATTTTGTTATATATTTTTTAATCACAATAAAAAATGATATTATAGTTATGCTTTTGCTATTGATGTCCATTTAAAAATTAAAGGTATGGTCACACTCCAATGAATCTGTCTTAAAGATATAAAAGTTAGTGTTTCAACACATTAAAAATTCACATATAGCATTTTAAAAGATTAAGTAGTTTTGCCTTTTGTCAATTAGCACCAGTCAAAATAAAAATTCAGAGTTTTCTGTTGCTATCCTCAAATTCTTGATGGACTGGAATCAAAACAAAGTTAAAGTGGAACAAAATCCTCCAGTTGATGGCCTTCCCAGATTTCTTCCCATCCTGGCTCAGAAATGTCTCAGATAATGGTTAGACATCTTTAAAGAGCACTAAAAACATGGTGGCAAGAATGGCCACCATATGTCTGTCAGTTTGTCATACTGTGGTGGCTTACATGTTGCTGTGAGGCTGGAAGCTATGCCACTGGTATTTCAAATATCAGCAGGGTCACCCACGGTGGACAAGTTTCAGCAGAGCTTCCAGCCTAAGACAGACTGGGAGGAAGAACTTGGCAATCTACTTCTAAAAAAGAAAAATTGGCCAGTGGAAATCTTATTAATAACAGAGGAATATTGTCTGATACAGTGTTGGAAGTGAGCCCCACACTTTGGAAGGCCCTCAAAATACAACAGGGAAGAAATGCATCCTCAAAATAGAGTTGATATTAATGAAATGGATGGAGAAGAGCTTTTGAGACCTTCATTTGCTGATGTGCCATGACTCAAAATAAGACGAAACAGCTGCAAACATCATTAATAACCAGTACATGGAATGTACAAAGTATGAATCTAGGAATGTTGTAAGTCATCAAAAATGAAACAGAACCCATAA